TATTTTCAAAGCCCTGCCCTTAGGACTTTTTACTAGAAGTGGGTCTTCAAGACGTACCTGACAGAAGTCTGCTGTAAGGCATAGGGCTTTTGAAGTTTCCTGTCGAAGGCTTAAATTTAAAAGTGTTATCCTAATTCTCAGCACCTGTACATCTGCAAGTATGGCCAAAGTCCCACTATATGTAGAGCTGGAACCTTGTCTATATACCAAGGTGCTTTCATGTAAGTAGGAACAGAGGTACAATTGACCATCAAGGGCTCAGCTAGGTAAGGGGGTTTTATGAACTACCTGGGAGAAACATTGGGTCTTAAATGTTCATTCTTAGTCTAAAATCTAATTCTTCAAGCGTTCACACCAATTCAAAAGTTGAAGGAGCACATGAAGGACCTTTCACTGGAAACATCACCAGTCACGTTGCACAGCAGTTTTCCGGTGTGCTTACAGATAGTTCGTGAGATCTTGAAGCAGAAGGCAGAAGAGAAGATCATAAGGCAAGGTAGAAGGATGATAAAGGAGACAAATCCACAATTGCACCTCTTACTCCATCCGTCCCTTCACTGATTCCCTGATAGTCCTTGGCAGACTGGAAAGGGGAAGAGGAGAAAGGGAGGTCATGCCCATGCTACTGCTAGATTTATTAGAACAGACCCCAGTTGATTTGCTAAAAGGAAAAAAGCTTGGAATGACCCATCTTTTTGGAAATTAAAATATGACAGAGTACCTTTTCCAGAGTATTTTTTTTTATTTAAAAACACTAGTTTAGAGTGCTTTGTGGATGATGGGCCTCAATGAATTAGTCTGTTACACTGATCAGAATATTAATGACCAATACATAGCAAGTAAGTAAAGACATACCTTCCCATCTTTAAAAGTAGTGTTGTCAGAAAGCATATCCTATTGCTTCGTACCAAAATATCAATTCCAAGAGCTCCCTGTTTCATGTAATCTATGCCTGACCCATGTATCCTTTGGCAGGTCCTATGACAATGATCTGAATGTTCTAAATTGATAGTTTTGCAGGTTCTATCCTAAAATACATAACACAAACCACTATGCAGTAGTTGCCAACACAGTATTCAAAATACGCTCTGTATTTCCCCACAAACATCAGCCAAATAGTGGCTTACCTTCAGGACATCTTGAGACTAGCTTAGATCATAACTGAAGATGCTTTGTATCTACAGCCATCAGAGCAACCAACTCGTGGAAGAGGGAAAATGTCAAATTAAATCCTGTACTTATAAAACTGAAATTGTCAAAGATAACAGGTGTATATTCTAGGGTTATTTGTAGAGTGGTTTGGTTTTTTTTTTTTTTATTGTAATACCTTAAATCAGAAGTTTTGGGAGGCTATTCACACAAAGTTTAGAAGCATTTGAACTGTACACTTTCATTCTCTACAGGAGATTCTGAAAGCTTTTGAACAGGAAAAGCTAGTACTCACTTTGTGCTTTAGCAATTGCCATAGAGCAAAGCCAAGATTGTGCCTTTGCTAAGGAGGAAGCCACAGGAAGTTTTCTGTATGATCGTACTTACAGTCTTCCTTCCAGCATACTTCAGCTTCATGCCCTGTAAGCGAGGCAGCCTAGGAAAGCACATGAAGATGTTTAGAACACTGTTAGATACTGCTAGCTTGGCAAGGAACCAAAGGGATACAGAACGCATACTTGCATTTCAGTGAGCAACTGCTGCTTCATGGTTGGATTGACACTTGTCACTACACCAGAACTTGAGATGCCAGGTAATGTTCCAGTATTCCGGAAGGTACACTTCCATCAACCAAAAGCTCTTAATTCCCAGAAATCCACTTGCTAGTCATTTTTTTCCAAGCTTGAATTCCCACCATCTTCCGGTAGGGGCAAGCCAAGGAACACTTTTCAGCCTAGCAATTTTATAGATTTTTAGAAAACTAGGAGATGTCAGGTGCACGTAACTGTAGTTACAGAGGAATTCACTCAACCTTGAAGATCAGATATGGCTGAAGCAAGCTACTGTCCATCTTCTGCAATGCTAGGCATCCTTATCTATCTTTTAAAGGAATATACCCAGAACAAGATCTGAAGTGGTCATAAAGTTGTATGTGAACACAGAACAAAATCCTCTGCCTGCTCCATACAGGGCAGGAGAAACCTACTTGCTTCCTTGCAGCTGTTCCTGTTTTGGACATAAACTATGTCAATCTCTTCTCCTTTTATATATAATCTCCTGTTAATTCTGTTGAGTTCCTATGAAAGCCTAAGAGCCACATACAATTTGTTTTCCCCTATGAGGAATACTCCTTGCTTTGTCAGATTTGCAGTGTAAACACCAACTCCATCTTTATGCTCTGCAACTAGAATGGCACTGGCCATTCATGATGTCTTTTCTGCTGCCTTTTTCATGTTGTCTTCCTTCAGGTGTTTAAGCCCATCTCATAGTTTTCTAAGCAAATCCTCGTCCTAGACTTCACTTTGAGCAAAAAGGACAAGTAGTGCCTGTAGGAGGCTTTTGGTTTAGACACCGTGTGAGCCATACCTCCTTGATGGATGCTGCAGTCTCTTGAACGTGGTTAGGTCGTTCTGTATACAGTCCAGGGGAGAAGATAAGCAGGAACAACTCTAAGGCTCTTGATTCTGGCCCAGAATTTCTCATGACGTGGCCCTGAATAAGCAGGCCAGTTCAGTCTGGAGAGAAGTCAGAGCTGGACCCTCCATGTTGGCCAGGCTCATCCAACAAAGTTAAGGTATTTCAGTGAGGGCTTGAAATCTGCAAGATGAGAAGATATGCGCTGCTTGGGGAGAGGGTGGAGGTGGAAAAAAGCAGGAGCTCTTTAGAACCAAGTATTTGCATCAGAAAAGCAGTACAGACATTAACACATTCTACTGTAATTTATGCAAGGCTTAATACGATCTGGATTCTTCTAGGGCTCTGCAGAGGCTGGCACTACAGGCAGTGGAAACTGGACTTATCAGGCTTTTGGAATAACTTCCCAATAGTCACCCATACACGAGTTATCCTTCCATGAATATTATGCTTGCTTGCTTACTTCAAAACACATTGGAAAACTTCCCGTTATTCTATGAAAGTTTCTGAGAGCATTAGTTCCTATTTTTTTGGCTGCTGACCACTTTCTACAAACCACTGCATTTACCCATTGGTTTAGCATTAAGGCATTTGTTTCCATTATTCTCTCCAGACTACTCCGTGACACAGCATTTTCCTCTTCCTGTTAAGACCAATACAGAAAAAATGAGTGCCCTTATACAACAATTTTCACCCTTCCCTCACAGCCAAGATCAGGCGTCCTAAGATTTCTCTTATACACAAGTACAGTAGATACCCTACCCAGGACACTGAATTTTAAGCCACTTCAAACAGCAGTCAGTTTAGAACTGCATTTATGTTAAAAGTTACTATTGCTTGATCATGATACCATGACCGCTTGAAAGGGAACGAGCTTAAAAGTCATAGCAAGAGCTATTTTATAGAATTGGCATGCATTTCAGGTTTAAATCAGTACTGTACTGACATTCAAGAATTTCAGTCCCCATACAGACTGAGATGAACAGCACTTTTATTTATTTCAGTTACAAGATGACAAGTAAACCTTACAACCAGAAAGGCAATGAAGGCCTCATCAGCTTAGTGATAACCACTTCATAATCCAGGCAACATGTTATGATTTCTTGAGATCACAAAGAACGCATACCCCCCTCAAACAACTTTTCCTTATTTCTGTAAGGAAACTTCCTGTAAGAACAGCACACTGATGTTAACAGAATCAAGGAGGACCACTGATGTAAAATGCCGACATTCACCTTCCCAGCCCCCCTCAAAAGGCTTAAGTGTAGACTTTATTCCAAAAAAGATAACACGCAGTCATGATCACAGCTAGAGAGGGAAAAATTAAAGTCTGTTTTCAAATAAAGTCAAATTATGATGCGTTATGAAGTTAACTTAAGATACTTTCTCACACGGCAGTGTACTTCATGGATAAAGAAACTCTCCTCATTTTAAGCCAAAGCTTATCTGACTTGGGTAATAGGGAGAAAAGAGTTTACATAAAAACTGATCTCCCTACCAAGCTTTCTACGTGAGACCTATGACGTAAGGGAAGTGCTAGAAACATATGGGAGAAATTACTATACAAAGTGTCAAGTGCAAACCCCCCTTGCCTAGAATTCAGTGTATTTACTTAAGTACAATAGAAAAGACTGAATTCAGCAGTGGTTGACAGTGGGATACAGTGCTACAAGTTGAACATTAGCCACTACAGGACAAGCCCAAGCACACATGTATCTCGCCACAAGGGAAAGATACACTTGAGCTTCCTGACCTGCTCATTTCTGCAGTTTGCTGTAGTATCATCTTCTACCCCATTACCAACTTCATTCCTGCATTGCTTTGAAGGGACTCATTTAAAAATCTCCAAAATTCTGGATTATTTGGACAAAAAATTCATTTGCTATTTTAAAGAACAGAAAGCTGGGGGAAAACTCATCTCTTCCGTTGCTCTTCTAAGCAATATTGGACCTAGAAAACATGGGGAAGTACCAGATGAAGTACTGTTCCATCATCCATCGCTGTTTAAACAATATAGTTGAAGCAGCCCATAACCTTTAGTCAATCACTAGCAGGTCAGTTTTGGTGCATAAGATATTAATTAATTGAAAAAAATGTATTTTCACCCATGCTGTATGTATGTCAGTTCTCAGTTTCCCCTCACTTAAGTGGTCAGGGATAATTTATTATGCAGTACTCACAGTAAGTCTTGGAATTTCAGGCAGACCTATTCATTCCCAAGGAGTATCCTTTTGGCCCAAGTGAAGACTTTTCAGTACCTTAGCTTACATTCATTCTGGAGGCAGCCACCATGATTGCATTTACCCAAAGTACTATTTTTAATGGGGCTGTTACCATCTTGAAATTGCAGTTTAAAGTTAACCAGTAATACAAAAGAGTACTTTTCAGTGTTTCCAGTGAAGGAGCTGAGAAAAAAAAGATCTGTAAGAAACCATTGCTGCAATTTTATTTTAACAAAAGGGCAGATTTATTCATGTTTACAAACAAGTTTCAAAAACAAAAAGGAGAACATGTATGCTACCCACTAACAACCTTTCAAAATGCCAACAGCCCTCATGCTGCATGAAGGATTCTATAGATTAGAAAAAAATCACAGTTCCACTCACAGTTCACCAAGACAGCACTAAACTAACATGTTTAGACAAAAACAAAGGACTAAGATTCTGATGTATTTTGATTTAATCCATTTTGCCCGAGATAACAGAAATATTTCAAGCAAGTGCCATCACATATTGATGTCCTGCATTAAACAATCCTACTAAGTTCTGAACAAAAGTTATTCAGTAAGTTTCTCAAAATTTTTAAAAATTAAACAGTTGTTTCAAAACCATTAAGTAGTAAATGTATTTAAGAAACTAATTAGGACAGAGGCCATAACTTCATTAGAACACCACTGCTCATGTTTTTACAAAGCATTAGTGTTATCTATTTGGCTATTAGTATTAGCAATTTATCTACAATATTTAACAAGGTAAATTGCAGGCAAAATTTAGTACAGTTTCAATAGAAACACCCTTTTCCTGAAAATACAGCAGTATTTGAAGGACTATTTTTTTTTGGTTTTTTTTGTCTTTTTTTTTTTTCTCTGCATCATTTATAAGGAAGCTTCCCATCTATGAACAGGAACAAAAAAAGTATCTACAAACCTTGTAAACAGATCTGTATCATTTATAAACATAAATAATTCCAAATTATTAACAGCCAACAGCAGAAATTAAAGTATCAATTCAACAATCCAGGGCCTCCTCGCCCTTCCCAGCCTTCCCCTCAGAAAAGGATCATGATAAACTAAAGCTCTGCTAACACACTGTTCAGGACCATTCCTTAAATACAACAGATGATCCACAGGTCACTTATGCTGAGTTACTGTTTATCTGTCAGAGTTCATTATTACTCCCACCCCCAGAAAAGCACCCTCCAGTCTGGCAGAAAGCTTTTTTTTTTAAAAAAATAAATCTACATTCGTACAAGTGTGTCTTCTGTTGAAGTCCAAGACAAGAATGTCATCTTGTCCATCATAATGTGTGAAGAGACCCAGTTTCAATTTCTTTACAATGCAGCTAGTGTGTTAACATTCAGCTTACAATCAGAGTGATGTTTCCAAACTATGTAGCGGGCTCCCTGGGGATGAAGAGGTAGCAGACTTGTTCATGTCTGTTGTAAGGTGAATTCCACTGTCAACCGCATTGTTATTTTTATTGGGAGAGGGTGGGGGAGTAGAGTTGCGTTTTGTTGGAGCATCATCTTCAGCATCAGTATCATCAATAAGGGGAATATGAGGCTCGGAGTCTTCTATTCTAAACTCAGGATGCGTCATAAAATTGTGAATCGAACTTCGTGTCTCAGGTTTCTCTAACCCCTCGTACAAGGAGCTACGAAATGCATTCACCACTCGGATCTGTAAACAAAGGAAAAAGGTTGTTAAAATGCTGCAGAGTTACCAGTAATGGCATGGTTCTTATGAGTTTGAATCCACAAACAGCTAGACATGAGTGAATCGAATTTGTATGTGATGCAGTGGAACTTGCAATAAACTGTAAAAAATGAAGAGCGTTTCAGTAGAGCACTGCCAGTCTACATAGTAGGAATAAAAAGAGTACTGCAAAAAGCTGAAGGGCCTAAAAATTCAGACATGGCACTAGAATTGTTCAATTATTTAACATGGTATAGGCATTTTTCAGAAGGGAGGCCAACAATTATTTACTTATTCACAAATTTAATCTCAATGAGTGTTTTATTGAATACTTGGGGGAGGTGGGAGAGGGGGAAGGGAGGGGAGAGGCTGAAAATAAGTTAGAGGATAAGAGGGTCACTAATTCTCATGCTAGGAATTAGGATGTCAACTGACTATGAAAAAGCCAAGCAAGTGTAAGCCAATGTCACAATGATCAGACATTTACAAAAAGTCATGCAAAAAAGGATACCACTAACAGCTGTAAATATTCGAGTATATACCCATTTACCACACTAGAGAAAGTTCCTTACTGAATAGTGCTTTGGAAACTTAAGACCAGAACTAGGAAATTGAATACTCTATTGTACAATTAAGTAGCCACGACAGGCTGTAACTTTGAAGAGATTATTCAAGTAGCACAAAGTATGAGAAAAGCAGGTGATCAGCCTTTGCTTGAGTCTTCAATTTACATTGAATTCATGGACAAAATTCCCAGGCTGAGTATTATTTCCAGTCCTTTCATTATTTAACTAACATTTTTCAAATCAGAAAGCTAAGTCTACAGAATTCATAAACAAACATTTTGAGCAAAATTAGAACAAAGTACAGCTTCATTTTGCAAACTGTGCATGCCCAGGTTGACCTGAATTTAAGCTTTCCAAATTGTAGTTTCATGTAGTTTCATGATGAAACTACCTGCCTGCACCCCGTTCTCTTCCCATGCCCCATGCGTTTCCCTGACCAACTACAGGAATTCAGGATTTATTCTTGAACTGATAAAACAAGTAAGGTTAGGCAGAAGTCAGTGACTCCTTTGTCCAACACTTCCGTCAAGATAGTTTCTCTCTCCTGTTCGCTCTCTATTCAATTCTCAACATCTCTACTCTGAGCAAGTCTTCAGCAAAGCACAGTTTCAATCCCAAAGCTCCTCTGTTGTAGAGTAAGCAGCAGAGCAACTCTGTAGTAAACAAGAACTTACTGTTACAAACAGCAAGTCTAATTTAAAGATTTTTTAAATTTTTTTTAGGACATCCAAGATGACTTGTTTCAAGCCAGGAAATACATCATGACTAGAGGTTCCGTAGAGTTCCTTGATAATAAAAATAAAGTGACTTCCAGGTGAAGGAATGAAGCTAGAAGGTCAAGCATATCAAGAGCAGAGACTTCAAAAGATACATCAAACAACCTCACTATAAACACAGAGAGAGGGCTCCCTAAAAACAATGCATTATCAAATTTGTTACCACAGAATCACTGCACATGATAAAGTCTTAGGTCCTGACTGCATTCTTTGACCTCTAGAAATAGTGTTGTTCTTCCACCCCTAACTTGTCAGAGGACTTGCACAAAGAATTCCACTCAAAAGCTATCACGTCCCCATTTTTATGCTGCAGGTACACAGCTGAGCCCCATTAACCAAAAAAATCAGAGCAGGGGGGAGGAAGAAGGAAGACATGCATACAAGGGGAGGACAGGGAATCACAGATTCACAGATTGGTAGGGGTTGGAAGGGACCACTGGAGATCAGCTAGTCCACCCCCCTGCTAAAACAGGATCTCCTAGAGCAGGTTGCACAGAATTGTGTCCAGGAGGGTTTTGAATGTCTCCAGAGAAGGAGACTCCACAACCTCTCTGGGCAGCCTGTTCCAGAAGTTTTTTCTCATGTGCAGATGGAACTTCCTGTGTTCCAGTTCGTGCCTGTTGCCCCTTGTCTTGTGCTGGTCATCACTGAAAAGAGTCTGGCCCATTCCTCTTGACTCTCACCCTTCAGATATTTATAAGTGTTGATAAGATCCTCTCAGTCTTCTCTTCTCCAGGCTAAACAGACCCAGTGCTCTCAGCCTTTCCTCACAAGAGGGATGCTCTAGTCTCCTAATCATCCTCGTAGCCCTCCACTGGACTTTCTCCAGTAGTTCCCTGTCTTTCTTGACCTGAGGACCCCAGAACTGGGGCCTCACCAGGGCAGAACCCCCAGAAGATGGGGCCTCACCAGGGCAGACTAGAGGGAGAGGATAACCTCCCTCGACCTGCTGGCCTTGCTCTTCTTAATGCACCCCAGGATACCATCGGCCTTCTTGGCCACAAGGGCACATTGCTGGCTCATGGAGAGCTTGTTGTCCACCAGGACTCCCAGGTCCTTCTCTGCAGAGCTGCTTCCCAACAGGTCAGCCTCTAATCTGTACTGATGCTTGGGGTTATTCCTCCCTAGGTGCAGGACCTACGCTTGCCCTTGGTGCATGTCATTAGGTTCCTCTCCACCCAACTCTCTAGCCTGTCCAGGTCTCGCTGAATGGCAGCGCAGCCTTCTGGTGTGTCAGCCACTCCTCCCAGTTTTTGATCATTAGCAAACTTGCTGAGGGTACACCCTGTCCCCTCATCCAGGTCACTGATGAATATTTTGAATAAGATCAGACCCAGTACTGTCCTGGGGCACACCACTAGCTACAGGCCTCCAACTAGACCCTGCGCTGCTTATCACAACCCTCTGAGCCCTATCATTCAGCCAGTTCTCAATAGCGTGAATGTGCTTGAGAAGTAAGATTACAACAGCAGCTAGTACTTTACTGTTCACATGAAAAAACTGAGTGTGCTGTTAAGGAGTTGGTGCGTTACATGAGCTTTAAACAAGTCCAGCAAGCTGCATAAACTGTCTTGGCACTTACCAAGAAAATCAGCGGTGACAATGCCAGACTGAAAGTTTGCAATGCCTTTATTTGGCATGTTGCATCCCGCTGTGCCACTGATTTATGTGGCAAAATGAAATATGACTCCCTTGTGGGACTGGTTTTTCATTGCTTACAGATGGTAAGTTAGAACATAAGCAGTAATGGAAAACAATTTTTGGCTTAACAGGACAGCTGTAATTATCATAGGAATATAAGCATACCCACAATAAAGGCTTGTTTCCCATGCAGAATGCATACTAAACAAGTGGTCTAGACACTCCTATGAACCCAGGACTCTCAAAGAGTCCAGCCATGAAGGCAGAAATCAGACTATCAGCATTTTATGTTATACTTAAAAAGGGAAAAATCTCATGTTTTGAAGGCTTTATTTTCAACTACTCAAGATAATTAGACAAGAGAGATAACTATAAATAAATGGCATAAGTGAGGAGCAAACAAGACAATTTGTTGTGTGTAATTTATACTGTCATCAGGCCTTCCTCATATTAGTACCAGAATAGCAAGGAATGCAGTAAGCACTCCAAATCCTTCTAGCCAGATGGCTGCTTAAGAGTTGCAACCTCACTTCATAGGAACAGCTGAACTATTTTCCAACAAACAGCTCCGAAAGAGACACAATGAAATAACACATCTGCTTCCCATTATTACATATTAGTTATCAAAAGTTGTTCTCCTGGAGGGTGTAGCAGAAGGTTGTACTACTATAGTGAGGATTAAAAACTAGTTCTCTGCTATTGTAGCTCCATATCTGCATTGGTCATTCAATGCAATGAGATGCTGCAGTGCCTGTTAGATTCTGCTCAAATGGCAGCATGGCATGAAGTTGCTCTCTAGAGAATTCTGAATGTCTAATTAATGCTCTTGGAGTGTAGTTAGGGATACAGGTTACTAATTAGCATTTTAACTAGGAGATGCAATCCTGTGCATCCTTACTGTTAAATCTACTTTTCGTTTCGTGTTCTTGAGGCATGTGAATTTGTGAGCTGAGCTTCTCAATACTACTGCAAAGTAGGGAAATACCTGTCTCACCAATGGAGAACAAGTACAGAGGTAAACAGAAAAGAACATTTCATTTAAGACAGCTCCTGAAATTAAGCGTCTTCATCCATCTGGTAATCTGAAAGTTTAAAAAGTGGGGGGAAAAAGAAGCCCTCTCAAGAGTTATTTTAAAAAAATTTAACCAGTCTCTAGGAAGTTAGAGAAGGAAGTAAAACACGTTATATAGAATTAAGATGGAAAACTCAACAATAGATATTTAGCCATCAGTATTCAACTACAACTGTTATGCATCTTCAGGCTCCACAGTTTAAGCCTACATACACCAGTAATTAAATCTCTAGCCTCTACAGGGAGGAAGGCTGAAACTGAAATGCCACTTAGAGCACAATATAAAGAGGGCAGAATTGAGGTGAGACAAACTTTACTTTCACTGATGGCTTATCAACTGCTGCCAGAAGAACCTAGAGAGGAAAAAAAAAAAACCCCTTTGGATTTGAATGAAAGTTTCACCATTGAATGCTTAAACCTTTTTTTCCTTTTTATATCAGCTAATTAAATGTTTCTTCTGACTTGTAGGCATTTTAGAAGCTTTGTTTCGCCACCTGAATCCTGATATTGAGAAAGTTGTGTTATTCAGTAAAAGAAGGTCCAACAAAAGCAGAGATTCAGAAGTTCCTTACAGGCTACAAAGAAAACGCATTTAGTGCTCCATGTTCTAACTACATTCATATTTTTAACATACCATTTGCTTTACCATCAGCTTCTTTACCTTAAGTATCATTTGTGCTGCAGTGCAAGACATCTATTTTTGTTAACCTGGGTCCATGATTACACAGTTAATTCACTTATTCAGTGTAAGTCACCCTAAGAGGCATATACTCGAAAATTTACAACAGTTTTCCTGTTTTATCTTAAACATCCCTCTGTACACGAATGGATGAAGGCACAGGATGTGCAGGCTCACAGCTTTCACATTAAAGTCTTTTGCTGAAACTGTTCCACCTGTTCTCAGCCCTCTAAGAAAAAAAAGTCTTGAGGACTCCACTTTGTGGAAGAGCTCTATAAAAGCCTGAACGATGATTTTAAGTACTAAGGAGAAAATGAGAAACGTTAGGTACGTGAATTAGGAAATGTTAATTTCATGCACTTTAGGAACACACACTCACACCCCACAGTAGTAGAAGCAGTAGTAGAGGAAAACACTACATGTGTAGGGGTAGAAATATTTGTTACATCATGGTGCTGGCTGGCGATGGAGGGTTGCCGCCTTAGAGCCCCCTGAATGGTACTTCCACTCTGGAAAGCATTCACTACATCCATCTGCAAGGAATCAGAGATTGTGACAGCTTGCTCAGCAAGAGAGAGAGAGAACAAGAGAAAGGACCATCCCATCTATAACACACAAAAAGTAAAGAAAAAAGGCACTTTTTTTTTAATAGAGCAGATACACAGGCAAGAGTTGTATTTAGAGCTGAAGAAAACAGAGGACCCTGAGGGATTACACATCCATCCATACCCCCTTTTGACAGTCTCAGTCACACCACTTAGAACTGCCACCTTAGTCAAAGGACTGGAGATGGAGAGATTTCCCTCATAACACCCACTGCGTCCTACCTTTTTCAAGACCATACCTGAGTTTGTATCCTGTTTAGGCCCCTAAACCACAAGATCTGACCACGACGTAATTCTCTCTCGGCATGATCAATCTCCTCTACATCTTCTGCTAGTTCTTCTTCAGGAATCTCTTCCTTTTGTGTTCCATGACCAGCTTCTTTAAGGAATTTCAGACGGCTGGTTGGAATTGTTGAAATCAACTAACAGTGAATGAAAAATATGGAGTTGGGATTATTCCTTTTTTTAAAGAAATAATAAATGTAATACCAGACTTAAGGCTTAACATAATATCCTGCATACAATTAGCAAAGTTGAAAAAACAAATTATGTAAATGGAACGAGTGCGTCAATGTAGAGTGATCACTCCAGCTGAATAGCTGTGAATATCCTTACTGAGGTGTGAAATTAAACTTGGACTACAAACCTAGAAAACAAAACATCCTGGGCTAGGGACAAAGAATACCACTTTAACATCACTTGACTGTACCAAGAAGGAGCAGTACCAAATCTACAAGAGCCATTAATTCTGTAGATTGTGCTTGTATCTACAGCTTTCAGAGCTCCATCACTTTGATGAGCATGATGTGTTACCTCAAGAGAAAACTACATCATTTAAAGTAGCCACAGTTAATTCAGAAATACAGACAGAACAGACATGCATTCTTTTGTAACCTGGAAGGTACCAATCCGTTTGCAAGGTGAGTAATGTTTCCAAAACCCTTATCCCAAACTGTTACTTTGCTACTTGGTGTACGCTAGTCCATCAACCATACAAAAATAAACAAATGCTACATATGGGTTTTCCAGCTTTCCTTTTCATCCCCACCTTCAGGGCTATTCTGGTGAACTATGCAGTTAAGGGGAGTCATCTTTTGATATGTCCCATCTAGCAGATCCAGATCAGTTCCAAGACTGCTTTCCTTGATCATCACAAACCTAGAAGACCATTTCAGCAACTGCAGAGGAAAAAGACTGCTCCAAAAGCAAGATAAACAGCCCTTTGTGCTGAAATTGCTACTACGAATATTCCCAGATCACACTTCAGTTTCTCCTATTCTCAGAAAGTCAAAAGCTCTTTGACTTTAATTATATGCTAGAGCAGCATGAACTGCAGCAGGGAAGCTTTGCCCTTGCAAGACACTTTGGGTCAAAGGTATTTCAAGCCATCTCGATTCTCTTCTAGGCTACTTTTAAACCTCAGAGTGACTCTATTTGATTTTTTTAAATAATTAATTTTCCAGAGACTTTATTAAAAAGCTTACCCACTTTTAGAATAGGCGTCTATGTATGTATTTACAACTAAAATTCACCCTACGAATTTTATACCGAAACCTGAAGTGTCCTTTACAAAACGGAAGGAAACTGTAATGGAAAACTCTTCGTGTGGTATGAAAAGTTTAGACAACTATGCCATTAAATAATGGAAAACTCCATAGCTCTAAAGTTTCATGTAAATAAGCTTGCTGCTTACAAGCACTGTTGTGCATGCAATAGTAATGAAACCCAAGGGAGGGAGGGGGGATAAAAATCAAAATGCAATAGTTTCATAGGTGGGAGACCTTTCCAATTATTTCATAATTATGCAAATAAAGATTAAAAAGAAAGTTGCTTTTGAGGTTTGCTGCATTTCTTGCTACTCCAGGAATATTTTAAATCAAGAAAATACTAGCAAGTTTAACAATTCTGATTTTTCAAGAAAACCATTCAACACTAGGTTAAATAAATTTCAACATTAACATGTTCATTGCATTTGTATTCTTACAGAACTTTTTCTAGCACTTATCTGGCTAAAGGTATAATTTCATATTTAAAAGGTAACTACAGCTGCTTCTGGTTAAAAGTTACTAAACATAAACCAGCCATAGCATCTAGTTATGAAATGTAACTAATTGACCAAGTGAGAGTAAGAAATATCCAACTAAGGACTTTCTAGCTGTTGAACTACTAAATTTTCATCAGTATTTACTGTTAATCTCCATATATTCATATAGTCCACTTGAAAGATCTGAATGCCAAAGGTACTATATTTGTATTTTCCATGTAAAGTATTCTAATGCAAGTAGATACTCGGCATTTTGAAAAAGGTAGTTTACCTGGCCCCAGAGTAGTGTTCCCATGCCCAGGAAAATGGACCACAGCCACTGTTCAATCGAGAGTTCTGAGCAACTGAAAGGCTTCCCACCAAACTGCACAATAATTATCTGTGAAGAGCAACATCATTAAACAACATGTATCAGTGACCTGTTACCAGAAAATTCCCTAATGCTTCAAGATCACTACAGACAACTCTGCATTAGAACACAGATTTCCTATCTTCTGAGCATACACTTCCACTGTCTCAGCAGTTCTGTTTATTCTTCAGATGTCACACTCCCAAAACCTTGTTGACTACTTCATTTTGCTTGCCGTTCTTTCCCTTCACTTCACAATTACAGCATGCATTTGATGCTACAAATTTACGGTGATTATTTATCATATGAACACCCATTTTAGAACCAAGTTGATTAATAAACTTCTATTAATACAATTCGTAGATCCATAAGACATGAAACATTTCAGAATATTACTAATCTCATCAGTGTTAAGTGTCAGACTTTAAATCATCACGGTGTGACATCTATGCAGTAAGTCTTAGAGGGAGGAGGCAGTTCTCAAAAGCTAAATTAAATGAGCTCCTACTGACTTAACTATTACAACAAGCTGTATAGGCCCTAATGAGCAAGGTATCCCTCTGCATAGGAATTATATGCATGAAAGTCTGCCCTGGAGAATCAACAATTCAAGTAGCAGGGCAGGCATGAAAAGGAGACAGTATTGATCATTAAGTAGGACACCTGACAGCTGAAAAGCCCAAGAGTATCTTCTTTTATTAACACAGAATAAAACACTGAGACAACAACTCAGGAGTTTTATTTGGGAAGGCATTCAGTCTGCCAAGTTTGTAAAGGGAACACGGTTGCAGTCAGGAGTAATTTCTACAAGTTTGGCGTAGTTGCACAACAACAGTCTGCTGCATATGCAACCCTAAAAATAAGAGTAGCTTCTGAAGAAGTATCACCTAATAAAACCTAAACCTGGGAGAATAAGTGAACTAACTTTATGTGAAGCAGAGGTGCATACATTTGCATTGCTTGAACTGCTATGAATTTGGTCAACTTCACAGAATCTCAAGTCTAAGGAGAACTTTAAGGCATAGATTATATCTTAAGTCTGAAATAACTTAAGTCAAAATGAAAGAGTTCTGAAAAAAAAAAATAGTATACTGATTTGTTTGTTATTTCTTCTGATAGACTAAAAGTTAAGGCCATTTAAAGTGTGAAACTATTCTTGTAAACTATTTTCTTTAGATACAATTTTTACTTGTTTCTCAACACCGGTGTGTTAACCCAATTAGTTTCAGATAATTTCATTTAATTTGTTAGCATATACTGAGTTGACTAACTAGCTTTTACAAATCTGCCTAGGTGCACCAACAGAAGGTCTGTAGACATCAACGTTTTTTCACCTAAACCAGCAGCTTCTATACAGATAACTAAAATATATACCAATACAGATAACTGATCCCTGCACCAGGAAGATAAAACTTGATACTTAAGTTTTTGAAGTTTATTCATTACCTAATCTAATTAAGAAGATACAAGAAGTTGTAACTTTTCTATAATTATTTAAATGGGCTCTCATTCAGGTGCACAGGCAGATACTATAAGGAAGAGTTCTGACTGGGTGCAGGGGCATACAACTTCTTCACATTTTGTCAAGAGACTAGAACATTAAGATCAAATTGAAGGACTAGAAAATTCAAAAGGTAAATACGAGTACTTCTACATTCCAATTTTACCAATTTCAAAGAGGCCTTACCTGAAAACTCTGTCAAGCAGCACTTCCAAGTAATTTATAGCATGTTTGACACTGAAGGTTTTTCACATTGCAGAAATGAAATGCTGGCACTAGTTGATTAGCATTTCCAAGGTAAGCAAGACCACCAGTGTACTAAGTGCATTTTGCCCCCAATCTTCAACAATTTACTTACCTGCACAACAAACGTCCCCAGAACAATAGAACAGAAGATAGCGTTGTTAAAGATTCCTTCAAAAACGTTTCTTTCACCATGAATTTTTCGGGCATTAATTTCATTAAAAAGCTGCATCATCACAAACGTATTAAATACAATAGTATAATGCTCTGAAGGAGGAGCATGCAGGGGTGCATTTCTTCCACTATCGATATCAAAAATTTTCTCACCTGTGTATAAAAGGCAGTATTTTATCAGCAGCTTAATTGGTGTCTTTACACACACACAGTACAACAAAAAACTAGTTTTAAGATGACATCTCTATACAACTTTTAGAATAACTTTGTAACGCCTCTGTATTCTTACCAGCAAACAGGAGTGTGAAGACCACTACGAGTTGGTAGAATGCATGACCCAAAATGTTCTTCATCATTGTACGAGAAATCAAAGGTTTGTTTCTACCATAAGGCTTTCGCAAGAGAAGAGCTTCAGTGGGTGGTTCTGTTGCCAGGGCAAGAGAAGCTAATGTGTCCATTATGAGATTTACCCACAGCATCTGCACGGCTTTAAGTGGAGAATCCTATAAAGATAGACACATAAACCCTCCAATAGAAGTGAACAAATTGCAGGTATTAAAGGCAGAGCGTTATGTTCTTTGTACTAGTATTTAAGTGGAAGTTTGAATTCAAGAGTTAATCAGTCATGACATTTTCAACCTTTATTAGCTGAAACAATCCACCACCAGTACGTACTTGTGTTATGCATGCTCCTGTAAAAGCAACAATTACTGCTACTACATTGACAGTAAGCTGGAACTGAAGAAATTTGGAGATGCTGTCATACACGTTTCGTCCCCACATAACTGCTTTAACAATACTTGTGAAGTTGTCGTCTGTAAGGATAATATCAGAAGCTTCTTTAGCTACATCTGTTCCAGCAATACCCTGGTAGAAAAAGAAAAACACTATGAAATATAACAGGATTCACTGACTTATGTAATAGAAGCTGCTACTATATCCTTGGTCAGCATTCACTTTCATGCACCACGTCTGAAGGACTATTTTAATGTAAGCACCTAAAGTTCTACTGAATCAAGTTCTGCTTATGAGTTCTATTCAAGCATGGGAAAATGTAAACAAACAATAAAAGGTAATGTTGTCTTTAGAAGAAAGACCTTAATAAAAATCCTCAACTTGACCATAAAGACACTGTGTAAGCTCTCCCAAAGAAATGTTACTGAACCCTGTTCAAGTTAAAGGCCACCAGATGGTGCAGTACTAAAGTTTCATCTATGTCCTAATGAGTTTACTATATGGATTCCAGCAGTAGGGCAATGCATGTGTTCATAACACAGTAGAATGATACACATTACCAAAAACCTTTTGCAGAAGAGAATTGGCATTAAACAGTAGAACATGCAATGCCATTGCACATTCTTAAGTTTTAAGCACCTGTAGTCTCTCCTATGGTATCCAAACAGTTAAGCTGACTTCTGTGTAATACCTACTTCAAGGATACTTATTTTGTTTTCGGCATTTCAAAAACACTAACTTAATAGCAAATTTATGATCCTTACTTTTGATATGTTATTTTGCCAAGGAAATGAGTCACCTGCACAGCTACATGTACACCTTCAAAGATACCTTAAAATATACCATCTACTATATGATATTTAAAGCGCTATTTAGATAAGCAATTAGAGAAATTAGTTTCTTACATAGGTGAACATAGAAACTGCAGGAAACATTTCAGTTCTGGAAGACAAAAATAAATCTGCCCCTGACAGTGCCAACTACAGCAGCTATACAATAGCAGAAAGCAGATACTCGTTAAAACAAGACTGTTACAGTCTAGAGAACATTTCATGTATAGCTGTCAAATTTGTAAGTTATGCTTTTGAAAAATGCTCCTTGAGAATGACATGAAAGCTCTTCCTCTTCCCATTTTTTCCTTCAAGATTAGCATCTGAGTCAGTGCCTCTGCTCATAGTGTAGAAGGAGTGTGGTTGTCTTTTTTCCCCCCTTCGAATGCTTCATAATGAGTTTTAAAGACTAAAGTGACCTACTAGCATCAAACTGTACCGTTTCAGCTTAAGACTGAGGAAGAATCTTGAGGCAAGAGGAAGCTTTGGGAATCGATCTTCAGTGTTTTGAAAGACACAGAAAAAAGCTGAAGCCCATGTACTTAAGGCATGAGTTCGTCTAGTGTTAGCATTTAAAGCCAACACTTGCTTTGGCTACCACTTGAAAGGGTAGCTGGGAATTTAAATTGAGAAAGCCAAATAATCTAAGGAACCATCCAGAAAATGTGGATCCTAGATTGTCATAAAACGCTGTTACTTCAGTTGTACTAGAGATGTCTCTTAGTATAGCCTCCAAAGCCATTTTAAACATCAACTGGCAGTCTCTCTCATTATAGTCTGCCTGTTCCTGTGCCTTATTTCATGGAAAACAGATACATAAGCAAGCTCATTCCATACTGCATAGAAGCTTTATTCAAAGTCAACACAGTATGCTATTTAGCACCTAAAGTCATTTTGCCTTATGTTGAACAGATCTCATTTCTGAAATCTTCAATATCAGTAATTCTGTTCCTGCATTTTGCAACAAACCTCTGCGTAAAAAAGTTTTGATTTGCAAGTGACCGCAGATCTGCATTTAAGTTTTATTCAATGGCAAATACCACATTTTCCATCAATAAAAACATGGTTAAGTTGGAAGACTGAGGAAGGAGAAAAAAAGTAGTATGAAGTGTGAGTGATGTTGACTTCATTAACTTAAGTTGTATAGTAGACTCATGAAACAAGCACGGGTTTTTAATCTTTTAAGTGATTTGACAAGTTATTTTATCAGAATAGGTCTCCAAAATACCAAAGATTTTTTAAAAATAAGAATCATACCATAGCAAATCCAACATCTGCCTTCTTCAGAGCTGGACCATCATTGGTACCATCACCAGTTACTGCTACAACTTGCCTCTGTTCAAAGACAGTGCTGTCAATTATACCTACAATAAAATGACATCTTAGTGTTACAGTTCAAAATTGACAACAGAGCACAGATTAAACCTGAAAGAGAAACCCAGTTTTTGTCTTCCTCAGAGTCATTAAAAAAAAACCCCAGAAAACCCCAAAACCCCACAACAGATACTTGTACTTGGCTCCATTTCTCGAGCAGGGGAAAAAAAAAAAAAAAAGTTGGCAAATGAAGACACCCTCATAGGCATTTCCCACTGCTTGGTCCTAGATTATTTTTTTTCTAGATACAGAACCGCCCCCACCCCCCCACACCCCCAGCTTTACTTAGAAGCTCAGATAGTTTTTACTTACCTTTTACTAGAGTGTGTTTGTCAGTGGGAGAAGATCTTGCAAGAACACGAAGCTTTGGCCAAATTTTATCTATTCGCTCTTGCTCTATCTGCAAAGAGAGCATTAGCTATATCTTACAGTTAGGAGACTTAGAATATCTGCTGATCTACTTTACATAGTCAGTATGCTTACCTCTCCTTTTTCATTGCGTATTCTCCTGTTAAAGTCTTTGCCCTCTAAACACAGGAAGTCTTCACCAGGATTCAGAATACCACATTTTAATGCAATAGCACGAGCAGTGTTAATGTTATCACCAGTCACCATACGTACAGTTATGCCTGCACGTTGACACTTTTTTATTGCATCAGGTACCTGTAACAAAAAAAACACCCACAGGCTCAGAGACTGTACAGTAGCTGAGTAAATCTAGACATGTGAGTGAAAGGAATGTTTTTGGCTCAATCCAGGATAACTCTTATTTTAAGATCAAGACTACTGTTATGGCACATCCTTTCCCCCCTTCATTTTCAAATACCCTGGTATTCAAAAATACCACAAAAATCCTCACTACATATAAGGCTGTAGTACTCAAAGGTACCAAGTATTGGTTTGTCATTTATGCTTACGTGAAATAAACTATAGCTCACACTGCACTACTTCACCCATGACTTGTAGTGTGAAGGGGTGATAGTGCAGATCAGACTGGAGCTCCACTTACATGTGGCATAAAAGCTTTCACTATTGAAAAACACTGGCCTCCTTAGACCTCAACGACAAGCCAGACTCCCTTACCTCAGTTCTCAGGTGACAAACCCCTCCACTCCATTATTCCCCATGAGAAGCTGGCAACAAGCACAATGGCTAATATTATCCAAAACAATGCTCCTAATATTTCAAGTGGCAAAAAAATGACAAGTTGTTCCATCTACTGAGACCCTGCACAGTAAGCGCCTTAAGTCATTAGTTTGTACAGAGCTTTAGTAACACAGCATAAGTGACATTAAGAAGTTTTAATCTGCTTTTATAGCTCCATTAACTTTTCCCCCAAGAAATTAATTTTCATTTATCAACTATGCTTAAGGCATACAATAGCAATTCAGTTTCTTGTACTCTCTGCATGATGAACAATAACATGAATCAAGATCTGTTGTCACAGAATCACTGCAGTTTAGTCAGTGACCCTACCTCAGGCCTCACAGGATCTTCAATCCCAACCACAGCAATGCACGTCAGACCAGTAACAATATCATTTTCATTGTCCCATTCTGGCTCAGGTTCCCCTGCTGGGAAGTCTCTGAATGCCAGGCAGATGGTTCTGAGCCCTTCAGAAGCCATTGGCTCAATTACGGTTTTCACGATATCATCGCGGTCCCTAGGTCTAAATACCTTTGGTTCTCCATTAGCACTCAGTATTTTGAAGCACCTGAAAAGAAGTTTAAAGAGTTATCAAATTTTAACCAGAAGTTCAGCCTATTCAATGGCTTAGTCAACTCCAATAAGTTTCTACAAGTTGGGTTTTTTTCCCACTAGACTCACACACAGAGAAAAAACAGTAGCAGCATCTCTAAGGTAATCTTCTCCATACGCACTTAATCTCTTCCCAATTGTGAAACATACTAGCTGTAGAAAGTTAACTGAGCCAGTCATCATAAGATGAAAATAATGCCCAATGAATTTAAGACACAAACATTGGTTAGGTACCTCCCAGAAGTATCCATTTCTCCATTGTACGTAAACAGACTGATGTCTGTGCTGGTTGAGTCAGTCAATCCAGTTTCAAGTTCAATAAAATAATCCCACCTTGTTAACAGTTATACAAGTCTCAGAAGTACAGTACGCTTCCAGAACATCCATGTGGTGCTGAAACAGCTGTAAGCACTAAACTTACAGCACTAAAACCAAACTCCGGTACTACTATCCTTAAGAGTAGTAAGGTTTGGCCCCCTCACAAGCAAAGTGGAGAGAATTCACAGAGCATCTGGCACAGAGTTCTTAATGTGAAGTATTAAGTTAAAACCAAATACTTATATATCTGATTTACGTGTTTAAGATACTAGATTCAACACTATGTACTCTAGCATTTCAACACATGCTCTTTCAGTTATGTTTCTTCGTGCCAAAGATACCGCTGCTTTCATAGACAGCACACATACTTTACCAATATTGATGCCATGAATATAACACTACCAAATATTTTGAACAAGACATTTAATCTTGTTCATCTACATCCTTAGAAAAGATTTATCATAAAGCAATGGGATAAGCATTTGTTTTACAAATTAGTACTAATGTGGCACCAAAAAAAATTTAAAAAAAAATTATGACTTTTTTAAAAATATCAAGTTCAGACCTGGCAGATCTGCCAGGATGACTATTGTTACATTTAAGTATTTAGTCCAAGGGTTTAGGGCATTCCCAGGTGCTATACATAGAAAAAGGTTTCTGCCTCAGCCAGGAAATGAAAATGAAGCAGTCCCTTAAAGCTTCATAGTATTCATCATAACTGAAATTTGAAGTCTATCTGTATTTCCTCATTTTGGTTATCTGTTCAAATGTCAGCAACCGCTAAGGATATCTTGTGTTACCTGCAAGCACAGGGCTTGTGATAAATTAAAAACATTCCAAGATGACTAAATGGCAATAAGCCAATAAGCTTTATGCAAAGATTTCATTGAAACTCACTTAAAATATTTGACTTGATGGTAAGTAAAGAAGAATAAAACTGCTCTGCTTGAAGAAGTTTGCTGTATTTCTTCTACACTTGTTAGTGACTCATTTGTGTCTTATAAATATTCATGTTTAAGCTTTCAATGCTCAGTAGTCATACATGTTATAATAAAGAACGAGCAGCACAATTGACAAACCAGGTTACAAGCTCTGAGATTGATTTCTGGCACTGCAGAGGTAAATGCAGTGGCTTATGGTGCCAAGACTTTTTCCTAGTCGGTGCATACTCTCAAATAGTTTTGGAATTACAACTATTCTAATAGCATCCAAAGCAGTCTAGGTTTTCTTGTTCTTTGCTAAATGCCCTTATTATTTATTTTCTTATCTCAGTTATGAAGCCAAGTGGACCACATGTGTCTGGGTTGAAGGAGTTCTAGTAACTTCTACAGTTCAATTGCTCAATAAGATAATAGAGTACAAAATACTTGTTCACTGATGAGATGTAGCTTAATCTAGCTATGAAAAAAAACTCACATCTAAATCTAAGTTCTGTATCAAAAGGAACAGGAGTCCTTTAAGGATTGACCTTTTGTTGTCAGCACTAAGTTGAAGAGAAGGACGATTTCATTGTTTTTTCTTTAGTGCATTAGTACTTTCCTAGATAATGATATGGGGGGCTAGTAGCAAGCAAAAAGGTAAATTGAATTGATTAACATAATCTCTGTGCTACTCAGACTAGAAATAGTTTGACATTAGAACCAAAACCAGACTGACTACAACTGCTGTTCCTAGAGAACATGATGCACACATACTTGACTTCTCTCCTCACCTAGTTAGGAGTTACCACAGCTTTCTTCACACCTAAAGGTTTGTCCCACTGGTGACTAATCTCTCACTAATAGTCTAATCTCATTCTAATAAATCCTCTATAGATGGGCAGATGGATAAGGAAGCAATTCACTTTGTCACATTAAAAACCCCTCAAATTTCTCCATTGGCCAAGTTCAACCTCTTGTTTAAAATGATCAACTGGGACACCAAATTGCACAGTCTTTTAAAGTCAAAAGTAATCGCTTTTCAAAGGCACAAGTCCTTCCTGGAATTTAGACATATCAGCTGTTGGGACTTTACTGGAAGATGGTTAAGCATTTTGACCAACCACACCTAAAATTAAAATAGTTTAGCTAGAGAATAGATCAATTCATAGATGCTTTCCTGTATCAGAGCAGAGTTCACAAGTTAGAATTAATTGCAACCAGCTCTTTTGGGGGGGGGCCGGCCTGGGGTGTGAGAATTAAAGTAACTGAAATGCTAATTGCCCATCTTGCTGTGGAAAGTCAAACAACTGGGGAGACAAGCTGGGGAACTGGCTGCAATCACAAGAGTAAAGGACTGCGGCACTTGTTTGTGAAGGAGACAAATATTTCGCAGACTATGGCACAATGTTGTTTAGCACTTCAGTGTCCTCACCTACCACAACATTTAGCCAAATTTAAGTGCTGAATTACAATAGTGGTTGTTCTTACTTTTTAAGAACTATCTCAGAGGCACCTTTACTGAATATCCGGAAACTGCCATCAGAGTTTTTTAACACAGTACTCATAGATTTTCTAACAGAGTTGAAGGTGTACACTTTGTACAAATCCTCTTCTGGTATCTCATTTCTTACGTCCTGATAATCACGTTTTAAATCCAAGAGCAATCCCAGCAAGGCACATTCAGTTTTATTTCCAACGTGACGTGGTAGGCCACCTTCTTTTTCAGGAGGCTGTGGGAAGAACAAGAACCTTTGTTGATTAGGATGTTAACTTATGAACCACTGAAGTACAACGTTTAGAAAACAAGGAAGCTAAGGCCAAGCTTAGCTCTGCGATCAGGAAGTTTCACTTTTGCAATGATTACTCTATAAATTTCTATGAGTCATGAGCCAAAGTCATACTGCTGACTTTTGTAAGTAGCTTCTTCTGTACCTGTTTAGGATCTTTCAGTCCCTTTCTCAGACTCAAAAATCACCCATTAAGTTTGTATCAAATCCCAACACGACCTTTCTAAAAGGCATTTTCCATTGATTGAAATATCTATCTGATCAATTGAGTGTAGTCCCTGAATAATTATTTTGCATTTTAAAAGGACAGATAAACTGACTTAAGAAAGCTAAATGGCATTATTTCTGCTAAATTAAAGTATTCTCTCCTGTAATAACTCTTCCTCAATGACTTAGACTACGATCCCATCACCTGTTAGCCTTCTACTGAACAAACTAAGTCTTTAAGCTTCTTAAGTCTCACTACAAGTTCCGTTTTCCAGGCCATGGCCTATTTAACTGGAAAGAGTTCAGAAACAAGTTTGCAACCCTTTAATACCAGAACAAGTTTCTTATCTCAGCAATTTGGAATATGAACGTACTAGTGCTATAAGTAAAGGAGTATTTATCTCAAGATATTTCTGAGCTTATGTATCTATAACATTGCAGTGTAGTTTGTAGCAAAAAAGGCAGAAGCACTTACTCAGCCTGACATACCTCAAGCAGCTAGAGCTGAACTATATTAATCACAAGTCAGTGATCCATTTTGTTGTTCAGAAGTGCAAGATTTTGGATTTGGTTGCACTGAATATTCACACTTTTAAAGTGTTCACTTTAATGTGAAGTTTAAGATGTCCAGTTCCAGGCTCCTCAGTACAAGAAGCATGGACATGCAGGAGCAAGTCCAGCCATGGGCCACAAATATGATCAAGAACTGGAGCACCTGACATACGAGGAGATGCTGAGACACCTCGGATTGTTTAGCCTGGAGAAGAGAAGGCTCTGGAGCAGAAACTTGTATATACTAAATACCTGAATAGGGCAGGCAGGTGGAGCAACAGTAAGGTAAACACTGCCAAGCCAGACTTAGTGGTGCCCAGTGAGAGGGTAACAGGCAATGGGTACAAACTGAAACTCGTGAAATGCCATTTGAACATAAAGAAACACCTTTTTACTCTAAGGGACCTGGTAAAATACTTGACCAGGTTGCCCAGACGTTGCAGAGTCTCCACCCTCTGAGATCCTTAAAACCTGACTGGATATAGCTCTGAGCAACATGCTCTGGCTGACCCCGCTTTGAACAGGGGGTTGGACCAGAAGATCTCAAGAGCTCCCCATCAGTCCTCTGTGATTCAGTAAAACAGATCAACTCTGACTACACTGGATGTAATTTGATTAAAAATGTAGTAGTAAGGGTCAGTTTACACGGGGCTACTTTTTTGTCTTTCTATAAAAAGATCTTTAGAAAATAGACTGTGAAACTCCTCACACGCTATAACTCATTAGTAGTATTTCAGTCTCGCTTCAGAGAAATTGGTGCTGGTGATCTTGATGTGCTGCCTCAAGTACTGCTATTGAGGACAATCTTGCAGAGGCAACATCTTTATTGGCTGAAAAGTAGCTTTCGGACTGGGGTTTTACTGTTATTCCTGTATAAAGCATTCATGGTGGAAGCTTCTACTAAATCTTGAAGTGCTACTATATTTATTTTTTAAAGCTAAAATTTAAGTATTATTTTTACTACCTTAAAGAACAAGTTATGCAACACGTTGGAATAACTACAGCAAAGAAGTTATATTTGGAGTTGCAGAAAATGATGCACACAAAAGTGCTAAATAGGTCAGTATTTAAAGTGTGTAACAGTCCGTTATTCCTTTTATTTCAAAATATTTTGGAAGTCTCAAAGTATGAGCAAAGATATTACAATTCTAAAGCCTACAAACTCATAAAACAGTATCTGGAATAAAAATCCATCAAAATCCTCATCTGTACTTGCATTTTCTCATTATATTCTAGCTAATGTTATGCTAGTCTTGCATCTTTACTTTGAAGGAGCACTCAAATTGAGCCAAGATGCTCTTCAAGTAAGGTAAACAGCCCCACTTATTAAAACAAATTTAGACACAACTGTGAACTTAAAGGAAGTTATCTTCCTGCAATTGTATCTTTGAATTACCAGTTTTAACTGAATAAGCTATTTTTGAAGTTTAGTCTCAAATGAACGGTTGAGCAATTTACAGCAGGTACAAAATACTTTATGCTGCATTTTGTCACACACTTACGCTTAACTGCCTACCATGCAGCCACCAGACAATTTGCATCTTTTGAGGAAGTTGTTTAGTTACCTTGATTAGAATGAAAAAATCCACTTACCAGTATTTTGGAAGTATAAGCACAATTAACAGAAATTCCTGTCACAAGGTAAGCCATAGTTTTCTCTGGAATAGCTTCTGGTTCTGGAATTTTTTTATAATGTTTTTCATTGATGTAGGCTTGGACCACTGTCATTCTATTCATGGTCAATGTTCCCGTTTTATCTGAGCAAATAGCTGTTGCATTGCCCATTGTTTCACATGCATCCAGATGTCTCACCAAGTTATTATCTTTCATCATTTTCTAAGGAAATAAAAGCAGTCAACAGCTATCCATGGCCAATACTTCACATTTCAGAAATTCTCATTTGGGGTGTCTAGTCTTACACAGTAGATTTAGAAGACACTCAGCCTTTAAGTTATCTGGCATCTTACAGAGGAAGAATTTGTAGCTGCCACATTCTGTAAGGATTTCTTTAAGTCTGTTATGTCACAGTAAACTTCATTTTGAACAAGGTTCATAAATACAGTCTTAATCTCCTGTATCTGCATGTCACACTGACTACTGATACTATTCAAATACAAACTGGGAGCCTAATGTTTCAGCTGAGGTAGTGAGGACTACACAGGTTTCATAGGTCAAATACCACTTTAAATTCTTTACTTAACAGGTTTGGATAGCATTTTAACCTTGAAGAGGCAGAGTAACTTCAAATGATAGAATATGAAGGCCACTACTAGTTAGTGCTGTAAGAACACAGCTTAAACAGCCATTGCCTTTACAATTAGATTTTCAGATCAATAACCAGTCTCCGCATGCTGAAGCAGTAAGAAAATTAAGAGAACAAAGAGCATGAATTAAAAAACATCCTGCATAATAAATAGAAAGCTAGATGTTCGATCCTCAAGGAGAATCAATCTGGAAACTTTTGTAGTAGTTGCTTAACACATCAGTTAGGTAGACATTCAGGTTTACAGAAGAGTTTGTTATTCACAAACTCTAACACATCTATCTATTATAAGCAAATGCTCCAATGTTAGGAGCTAAACCCATTTTTGGTTGGTGATAACAGGCTGTCACTGCTCACTGTTCATGTTAGTGTGTATTCAGAGATTAAGAAAAACAGTGTTGGATTTCTTACGCAGGTCATGGAAACATGAAAAGCTTCTCCCCAGACTGTTTCGTATGTATGTCATACAGCATACCTCAACTGAGATTTTACAGCTAATGAATACACCCACCTACCTTTAAAATCTGTTCCCCCTCTATCAACTTACCTTAACAGAGTAAGCCAGAGATATAGTGACTGCAAGTGGAAGACCTTCTGGTACTGCCACCACCAAGACCGTAACTCCAATAATGAAGAACTTCACAAAATACTGAATATAAATTGGTGTACATTCAGCAAGCCAAGGTCTCTTCTGAACCCAGAAGGTATCAATTACAAAATATAACACAAGGATAATGACTGTGATTGCAGACATCAACAAACCTTGTTAAAAAGAGAATAAACAGTTTTTAGAAATTATCTCAAATATTTGGCAATAGATTGTGGATAAGTGCAAATATTTCTGCCTTTACAGAAGCTAGTTTATAACTCAGTTTTTAATCAGGCAAGTCAGGGAGCATTGAGGTAGTTCTCAGAGGTGTTCCAAATTCCAATGTAAGAATTTCCTCATGCATTTCACCTAGAAACTTCTAAAATCTTTTTTTTTTCCTTCCCATTTAATTGAAAAATGTAGATCTCATTATGAACAGGAGACATCAATATGTAAAGTCAATTGACTAAGCAGAAGAAGAACTGAAATAGTTCAGCA